AATAATTGCCATATAATTATTGTTTATTGTTAGGTCATGTTATCTAATAAATATTATCTTATTGTAAAGTGTTTTTAATACTACAGTTTCATCTATTTGATATACACTTAATATTTGTAATCTTATCTAAATTTATTATAAAAGCTGAGGTTTGTTATTTACTGAAAAGTGATATTTTAGCTGGTGTCAATGATCTAATGTTGCATTTGGTCACACTCAGCCCATTGCTTTACTTGAGTATATTATATTTTGCTTTTACAGCTGCAGACTGAGGAAGATCCTGAAACACACCAGCAAACCCTAAGACAGACAACAGTTTACAGATGTTTTTCAGCGGCAGCAGAACTATGACTAAACTTTTGGGTGAAACTTGTTTACTTTTTTCTTACTTTTATTACTTGTGGGAAAACTTGAAACAATTTTAAATAAGTATAAAGAATGGCATTGGTTTTGTACATTTAATTTTTGTTTAACGTTATTAATAAAAATGTTGTTCAGTTAGCATGTTTTTGTGTTTTGCTTTGGTACCGAAATCGGTACCGAGAACCATGGATTTTCACTGGTATCGGTACCGAATACTGAAATGTTGGTACCGTGACAACACTAGGTGGGTCTAAAATAGTTTGCAAAGACAATGATGCTTTCTTTGGGGCACGACGCATGCCATCACAAACCTCTCGTCTGGGGCTGGGCTGTGCCGAGGGTCTCTGACAGACGGCATGCCATTCACATGCTGAGGCTGAGAGGAGATGAAAAGGAGGCAGATAAACTGGCTCTCAGGACTCTGATTGTGCTCTGATCTGTGGGGCTGAGAGCTGAGTGCTTGAGGAAGCGATGGGAAGCTTCACCTCTTCTGGAGTCTTCGGGGTCATGTGCTGGCGGCCCGCCAGGAGTCTGTCGGACAAGTTTGTCTGTGCACGCGCCATACCCTCTCGCTTTTATGTGTGTGTGTGAATACACTCTCAGTCAACATTTTTGCATTTAAATGCCTATGTGTGACCCAATCTGTGTTCACACTCACTTTATTCTGTTAAATCAGTGGTTCTCAACCTTTTTGACTTGAAGGCCTCCATTATCCAATACAATATTCAAAGGCCCCTCATATAAACTATACTATTTCCTCCAGTATGTTCTGCTGTAATAATGACAAAGCTACTTGTTTATAAACTTTTTAGTAACAGAAATTGGGAATGTTTATATGTTAAATGAAATAACCATAATAATTTTTGTTCCAGAATTTTTGAAGAACGCTAGTTCTTTAATAAAAAAATAGATTGTAATAATAATAATAATAATAATAATAATAATAATAATAATTAAATGTTGGTATGATAGGGGATTTTTTATTTTTAGTTTATTAAAATAATTATTTAGTGTGTAGTATGTGTATTTTAGCATTTGAATTAAGTTACAATATTTTAATATTTTAAAATCTTTTTGAAGTTTTCATTTAAATAATTTTTCTGCCCCCATGGTTGAGGACCACTGTATTAAAGGGATAGTTCACCCAAAAATTATAATTCTGTCATCATTTACTCACCCTCATGTAGTTTTAAGCCTGTATAACTTGATTTCTTCTGTGGAACAAAAAAGAAGAACTGTTTTTGTTCCCCCATACAATGAAAGTAATAGGGGTCCAAAAAAAAAAACATTGGCCCATAATGGATTTCATTTTATGGATTTTTTTTTTTTTTTTTTTTTTTAAACATTTGATCTATTTGCATTTAGACTATAGATCTACATTCCAGCTGTTATGGTTAGTCTGATGAGGTTACCATAGCAACAATTGGACGCTTCCAGTTAAGATCAAGTATATTTGGACAATGAAAAAATAAAACAATAGTAGGCTACTACCATTTATTAAAACTTTATTGATTTTTTGGGTTTTTTTTTTTTTTTTTTTTTTCAAAATATCTTCATTGTGCTTTACATAAGAAAGAAAGACATGCAGGTTTGGAACAACATTAGAGTGAGTAAATGGTGACAGAATTGTCTTTTTTTTTTTTACAGGTCTCCTATTGGACCTAACCAATGTATATTAGTGTGTCCCAGAATGCACAGTCTCCTCTCCGATGTTCAATCTGGGAGAAGCGAATCTCATTTGGAGAATGGAGAGATAATCAATCAGGCAGTCTTGAGAGATGGATCAGATAACGATTAGATGACAGCTGCTTGGCCCGTTTGGCACACTTACAGTGTTTCACCTCTGAGCGTGCGTCTGCTGTTCTCTCATACTTCGGGTCTATCCCATCGGCATGTGACAGACAGCATCGTAGTGGTTCCACTCGCATGATTTAGTGGTGCGCTCCAAGAGGAGATTGTGCCATGGCTCTGCGCCACGCGCCACAGAAGTGAACCCAAGCCACTCTGTGCAGTTCCAGCCCTGTCGTGACTGACTTCATATCCAGCATACTTGGGGGATTAAGTAGGGATGAATTTCGCTCTTTCACAAAGTGAAAAAAGAGAGACTTATCTGTAACCATGCAATTCATAATGTAACCTGAGGTCTCAGCAGGCGCAGAGGACGACAGGTCTACGAAAAGAAGAATGTGCATGTGTATGTTCGCACTGATTATTTGGATAACTTCTCTTAATCACAGTTCCCCCCTCCATTTCCCCCTCTGCATTATCTCTCTCATACATCACGGTGTGGCTGTTTTTGGATATTCCTGATTGCACAAGTTGGGTACATCTTTTTCTATGTTATGATTAGGCCCCATCTCGCACTTATCACATCCAGGAGTCTCACCAGATAAAGGAAAGGCAGGAAAGAGTGGCTTTGAATAAAGCCGTGAGGATAATGGTTGGACTAGGGCATGTGGTCTTCCTCTGCTTAGAGACCATTCTTATTCCATTGTTAAAGTCCTAATGTGAATCACTGTATGAGAAATGGCAGAAGATGATCTTAGAACAGTCATCATCATGTCCAGATTTGCTTTCTGCAGGCAAGTTCCTTTGTCTTTTGTTATGTCTTGGTCGTGGCTGGTTTCGATTAGAGCCAGGGAAGGGATGGTTCATCAGACGCAGACGAATATCTTCATCTCTATATCACCCAAGCCATAATGTGAACACATATGCAATCCGGGGCCGCTTTTGTGATATTCAAGCTCTCGTTTAAAAGCCAGCGCTTTGCCTCGCCCCTTTTGACAGTGAAACAGGACTTGGAAAGAGAGAGTCGCTCCAACACTGTCTGCTCTTTTACGAGTCTACACCTCCTGCTGTAAAATGTGGTTCCATTATTTAAGCAGTGATCCTGGCGCTGAGAAGCTCACAGGTTTGTAGATAATCAGAGGCTGCAGGAGAACATTGAATCTGCACATTATTATCATGCAGGGGTGTGTGCATCATAGATCAAGATCTGTGAGATATACTAATAGAGGCTTTATTACATGCCTGTTCGTTCAGCACTATGGAAACCTTTACACTCAGGGATGGATTGGCCATATGGAACAAAAAGACTTTTCCTGGTGGGGCGCTAGACTGTCAAAATTAAATTGTTTTAAAGAGAAACATTGTCTGACTGTCATTAAAATAAATGTGATCAAATGTGTTGCCAGTAAATAAAAACAAAAGATGAAAATGAAATCTGGAGTTATGAAGGGTTTAAACATGGGTCACTATGATCAAAACGGGGGAAGTCGTGGCCTAATGGTTAGAGAGTTGGACTCGTAACCCAAAGGTTGTGGGTTCGAGTCTCGTACTGGCAGGGATTGTAGGTGGGGGGAGTGAATGTACAGTGCTCTCTCCACCTTCAATACCACGACTGAGGTGCCCTTGAGCAAGGCACCGAACCCCCAACTGCTCCCCGGGCGCCGCAGCATAAATGGCCACCCACTGCTCCGGGTGTGTGTTCACGGTGTGTGTGTGCACTTTGGATGGGTAAATGCAGAGCACTAATTCCGAGTATGGTTCACCATACTTGGTCACATGTCACGTCACTTATAAAACAATGCATCACATATTCCTCTAAACAAGATCAACATTTTATTTCTATTTTAAGGAGATTAATAGAGATTTATTTGTTGTTTGTTGTCCACTTTGTGCTGCCTTTACAATACTGTGAGATGCAATACTGTGCTTGTTAACAATATCATAAATTATTCTCATAAGTCATCAGGTATTTGTGATGAATAAATACTACTTTACAGTAGTGTTATGCATAATACACAGTGATAATGTTTAGCATTAACATCTCTTGCAGTGTTTTTGCTATAGGCAGGGTCCAGAATTAACACTCTTTAGGCACCGAATGCAAATTAAAATTGACATTGGCGAGTATATGCCAATAGGCCTGTAATTTTATTAGGAACTGCAACATAATACATGGTTAAATTCAAACTGTAAAAACAATAGTCTGACCCTCACTGATTTGAGAGACGTGTGATTCAAAAGAAAGACTAAAAACTGTCTACTCATTTTACCTCAGTGGAACACTGACTATCAAAAATGTAATGTTTATAAGTTTATTATACTCCATGTGGCCAGACATATGTGGAATATTCCTCACATTAGATCACTAAAATATATGAGCAATTGAAGTAGAGAAACAGGGACTGTCTCATGTTGTATGTGATGCTAAGAATGAGACAATGCGATGTTTGTTAGAAACATCGTAAGGAAAATGAGTTAATACCTTTGTCATTGGGAGAAGAATATAAAAAAATGTAATTAAATTAATTAAAATAACATAAATTACTTAATTTGGCTATATAAAATGTAATTTTTAAATGTGTAATGAAATTAATCCAAAGTGTCCTTTAGTATGTAAGCATATATATCACAGCAAAACACACTACTGCACAAGACTTCTGTTGAATGGTCGTATGTAAATGAAATATTAGGCCTATCAAAATGGGATGCATCACTTGTAAAGCCTATTATCTCTCCTCTCATATTTCTTATCAGACCGCCATGGAAGGTGACTGGCAAGAGCGTTGGTTTGACTTTTTAAAACAAACTCGCACAGCAGATGAATGTTATTAGTCTGAAAGATTAGCCTTGACAGGGGTGAATGAAAAGCAATGAGGTATTCGCACAGAGCTATGCTCCCCCGTACAGCAACGTGATGATAAAAGCTGACTTCAGCTGCACGGATCACAGACGCTGAACTCCACTCCAATACGGTGAGAGTTATTAAAAAGAAAGAACCGGAGGATTGTGCCGTTCTCACATTACGTCATAGCGACTGTCACAGAAAAGCACTGGCAGCCCGCTCAATGCTTTGGACCTGAGGCCTCTTCTCCCATTAGCAGTTGAAATAAACAATTGATTCAAGTGTAAACACACGTCTGTCGTCACTTTTGATAAAACCCAGCAATTAAGAGTCAGCTTTTTTGCTTTAAATGTTATCTGTTTATGTTCAAAGGGGTAATTCGATTACCGCTGACATTATAGTGTGTCTGACTCTAGTAGTCTTTTTTCTGTATATTTTCTTTGTCATCTGCAAGGAACAATGAGTACGCCTACAAACCAAGAAAAGCCCTAAATGAATGAAGATCAGCTCAGACCTTATTGTGAACCTTGCGGTAAAGCAACAGAACATGAAATTTATAATGCTTTACATCATTTAAAGTGGTTTGTGTGCCGTGTGGTTTGAGAAGATAACCACACTTTATCTTGTGAAAACCTGTGTAGTTCAGATGAGTCATCTGATGAAGCTTTGTTCGTTTCAGGGCAGTGGGGAGTCCCTTGGTCATGGACCCAAACAGCATCTGCAGGAAGACCAAACGTCTTGCGGGCAAGCAGGCCGAACTGTGTCAGACCCAGCCGGAGATCGTCAACGAAGTCGCCAAGGGCGCCAAGCTGGGCGTGCGCGAATGCCAATACCAGTTCCGCTTTCGGCGCTGGAACTGTACCAGCCAGAACAAGTACTTTGGCAAAATTCTGCAGCAAGGTGAGCATTTGTCCTAATGGAGCGAAAGGTTCTCCACCAAAGTTAATCAATCTTTGTCCCTGATTATGTGTCAGCGACGTCTTTCTGAGGGCATGAACTCTGGCCCTGAGACCTAGAGACCTGTGCCCTCATTTCAGCATATTTGATCCAAGTTCAAGAGAGAACAAGGACAGCTGTTGTGTCCAGTTTACCTCAGTGCCTTTCTTCTGTGTTAAATTGCTCTCTAAAAACGATCCCCAGATTGCATAATCATTGATCCACCACATTTTTCAGCCCTTTGAAGAGTAATAAACTAACATAGCCTCTACAATTATTAGGCCATCCACAGGGTTCAACCCCTCACTTCTCACGTAGCATTATCTAATATTTTGGAAACGTTTTCCTTTAAAGATCTGACAAACAACCCAAACCCTAAGTAAACACTGTAAATTTTAATTAGTAAACCTTACTTAAAGGGGTGGTTCACTGGTTTTTTCCTAGGCTTGATTGTGTTTATGGGGTGCAGTCTAACATGTGTTAATGCTTTGTTTTTTGTTTTTTTTTTAAATAATTTTTTACATAATTTACCTTTATTCCACACCGCTCTGTCCCTTCTCTGAGATACGCGCTTAAAGGGGTCATATGATGCGATTTCAATTTGTCCTTACCGATGAGCTTTGTAAAAATCGACGCGTTTCAAAAAGGCGGGGCATAGAGGAGAAACAATAATGTACAGTATGTGGAAAATAATGTGTTTTTTGAACTTTAAACCGCATAAACACATTTCATTACACCAAATACACAAAATAATGTTCTTTTTAGCAGCATCATATGACCCTTTTAACATTTCCTGCTTTTATGAAACCCCGTCCTCAGAAATAGGTGATGGGCTCTGATTGGTTAGCTAGCCCAGTGTGTTGTGATTGGCTAAACCGCCTCTAGTGCCTAAACGTCCCACCCCTCACCTCAGCGGCATGTGCTCCGGTTGTAATGTAAACAACAGCGTCGTTAATATCGCTTCTCAGTTTGAGCCTGATTGAGAAGCAGAGGATATTATTGAAGAGGATCGTGCAGAACCTGTGCAAGCACAGCTTTTAATGGTAGGCCTATGTTTTTTGTTTGTTGTTGTCTCATACTTTTAGATATGCTGTTATTTGTAAATGCTACTGCTTATGTTATCTTTTAATATACGGTAGCTGAGCTGAATGTGAGAGAGAGAGAGAGAGAGATGCAGAACAGGGGGACGTGAGGAACAGTATTAAGAACTGCTGCTTTAGAACATTGATTTTGAAAGTGGAGGTAACAGTAGGATGAGTTTAAGTATGGCACTGGGGAGGCAGCACAGGTTGTCAATGGTTCAAAAAATCACTTTAGTTTTAGTGTTGTTTTTTTTTCGGTCCCGAGTCGAGTATCACACTTTGAACGAACCTGTAAAGGTTTTTTACGGCATTAGGGTAATCCAAATGTACCAGTAATCCAAATGTACCATATGACAGTCCAGAAGCAAATGGTTGAAGTAGATTCTGGAGACTGTTCTTTGCAGTACTTTCCTAAATAATGATGGCAGAAGACACAGGGTCAAAAAGATTTGGACAAGTACATCTTTATCTTTGATAGTCAGCAACCCAATCAGATACTAGTGCCCAGGCTGCATCAACATTAGACATCTGTATAAAACTAAACAAAAACTATATTAATAGGGAAATGTGGATTATGTGTCCTGCCTACAATGCCATGCCATTGGGTTAGTTCACCCAAAATTGAAATTTATGTCATCATTTACCCATGACTTTTATTCATTTTTGGAACACAAATGAAGACATTTTCAATTCAATCTGAGAAATGTCTGTCCTTCAACTGAATGTCTATTCACCCAAAACTTTAGACAGTTGATCATTGTAGCAAAGTCCGTAGTTCGGGAAGAAGGAGGCGGGAACCGGCGAACAATCGAACAAAACTTCAATAATAAAATAAACACAAAACAGCGCGACAGCCCCTCACAGATGACTGCCGCACACAAACAGAACCAAAACACAAAATAAAGTCCAGGCCTGGTCCTCTCTCGTCTTGCACTGTCGTCACTCCTCCTTTTATCCTTCCGGATCTCCTCCGTGGGACTCGAGACCAGTGAGTGGCGCAGGTGTCGTGCATTATCACTTACTCCACCGGCCTCGCTCCGTTCCCATGGCTCTCGGCCCCGCCCCACTCGTCACAATCATAAAGTGATCATGTCTATTCAGAAGACTTGAGATGCTTTTCCACCGTCAGGCCAAACTATTCTTGTTGCTTAACCATTCCATTCTGTGCCGATCCGACCCAAGCCGATACAAATATTGTCTCATTTTTCACTGTTGGGCTGATAACAGAGCCCTTTGGAATGCACACAAATGTGTCAGTTGTTGCCTTGGTAATGCAAGAGTTAAGATACGGTACGAGATGTAAATTGCGACTGTGTGATTAAGGATAAAATATTTATTTTAATGTTACTATTAAACTGTGTTTATTTCACTCAAATAGCAAACAGAGAAAACGCTGGCTAGGCAACAAACAGATGACCAATCCTAAGCAGTGACACCACTACAGGCATTCTACAGCAAGGTTGGCTAAGAATTCAAGACCAAGAATGGTTTGTAATCAGACCATGCCTAACCAAGTTCAAGTGGAAATATGACTGGAACTAGTCCTTACCCTTCTTAGAACCGTTTGGCCCAAAAGTAGAAAAGTGCCTTTGGATTAAACTGCTCCATTTATATGGATATATTTTATGATTTTTTCTCTTTAAGAACATTTTGAAGTGTCAGAGTTTTGGGTTAACAGACTTTCAAAAGAGGACCAGAAATCTCTCATTTCTTTTTTTATTAAAAATATCTTCATTTGTTTCATGAAGATGAACACAAGTTTTATGGGTTTGGAATAACATGAGGGAGATTAAATGGCAGAATTTTCATTTTTGGTATGTATAACATTAATCTTTATGTAAATATCTTAGTAATTTACCAGCAAATACAAAGGAAATTTTTCCACAATTATGTGCTTCTATTTGCTTCTCAATTATGTGTAACTATGAGAACTTACAAGGAGGTTAGTTGTAGAAGTCTCTGGGGTAATCACAAAGTAAAACAGGTAGGCCTCAGATGGGTGTTCAGTGCTGTCAAATCTGGGCTCTAGAATTTAAAAAAAAGTAAAACAAAGTTTAAGACATTCAAAAGTTACAGTACAACTATGTATGTCAAAGTGTCAATAAAGAAGTCATTTATTTTAAAACATTGAAAACAATTTAGGTAGCAACATACATTTTTTAGGGGTTGTAGAGTGTAAAGTGTCCTCTTAGATCTGTAAAAATAAATAAATAAATAAATACAATGGTTACAGGTATACTGCATCTGCAAGAAATTATTTGAAATTGTAAATATTGTGTAGAACATTGAGTCAAAAACTGCTCTACTGCTGGATATAACAGTTTAAGATGAAATACCTCACCTCCAGTGTACTGAGGCCCGTGTTGATGAGACCGATGTTCAGAGAAGGCAGTTGCCATAAGCACTTTTCCTAAATATGACAAATAATTCTTCTATTTCCATGTTGAACATTTTTTACTTAAAACCAATATGCATCTGTTGCATCAATTTAGAATATAAAAATAGAAAACTAGCTACAAAGTTTTAAGTTTGAGAAAGTACAAAAAAAAAAATCTTTAATTCACCAAAATACGCCACAAGTTCTAACAGCAGAATAGCTAAGATCTTTGATGCCTGTTAGCTAACACCGTGTCTATAGCGGATACTGCGGTCATGTCACACCGAAACAGCTGGAAGCTGTCCACACTGGACGCGACAAAGCTAGCGTTGCAAATACCCGCATCTAGTGTGAATAGAATCACTGATTATAATGGGTTCTATTGTCTTTTGTCATGTTACTGACTTACTCCACACGGAGTAAGTCAGTTGCCCTGCTTCTTTTCATGTGGACCCTGCTTCTTTTTTACAGTAAAGATGCATTCTTGATGGATGGCAATCTGTAGTTCAGGCCTCAGTTTACAATGAGAACTTTAGTAACACTTTATTTTGATAGTCCACATAAGTAACCTTGCAACTACATGTCAGCCACCAATCATTAGAGTATTAGTAGACTGTCTGCTTAATGTCTGCTAACACTTTGTTTTGATGTTTTGAACACTTTGTTTTGATTTTTGTTTTGACTGTTCCCCAACAGACATTCTATGTCAACTTATTCTATTAACCCTAATCTAACAGTCTACTAATACATCTTTTTGGCTTCTGATGAATATCCATGAGCAAATCATTAGTAGTGAATTTGATGATACATGTTGCTCACCTTTTCTGTTTGTATGCAGTCTAATTGGTTGTCACCAGTAGAGGGCTCTATTTTGGCTCAACATGCTCTGCCCTGAGCCAGCAGGGTATGAGATTAAGATGGTCAGTACAATTTTTTGCCTAATTTCACATGAGATTTCCCTTTAGACATGCCCATATCACAGTGATGTGGAGAGATGCAGGCTTGTCATATCCAGGTCTGGAGCTGAGAGTTCACGATTTAGCCTCCAGTGTGGACGTGTTCACACACGGATTGCAACATGATTCCTCTGTCTGCATCAGCCCATCTTAGACTGAGCACTGGAGACTGCCTCACAAAATGGAAATTAATCATAAATTCCTCTGTGTCTATAAGTGAGGCTTAAGTGCTCTTCTGTTTTCATGCATTTACCACAATTACCGTGAGACTTGGCTCTAATGACCACGTGTCAGAGCTGAGATCTCTGCTAAGGCAGGTTCACTTCCTGCACCGAGTGACATTTGTACAAAGTGTCTCACATATTTCTTCCATTGCTAAATAACTGGGGGCTGTTTTCTTCCCCTATTCAAACATGTAAACCAGAGCTTGTTTTCTTGGCCCAAGGGAGTGGCCTCCTAATTCCAGAATTTGCTGGAAATGCTGCCGGCTGCTCTTACATGTTGTCTCTGAGGTTGTAATGAAGTCGTTAAAATCGCACAGAGACAATA